GCATGTGCCTTTTGATGAAAAGCCTTGCTTTGTTAAGTCATCAGATAATTGCATTAATAAAACATTTTAAAGAGCACTAACAAAGGAGAAGGAGGTGCCAACTATTCCGAAGTACAGGTTTCCATAATGAGCTGAGAATTAGTGTGTGATAACGCTATGCTTATACAGTCCCTCATATATTTTGGGTTCTGATTACACCCCAAAGAACTGTGCTAGAGCAGTATCCCTACTGTGCAAAGAACTGCTCAAGAAGACATAAAGCCAGCAAGATACAAAAACCTTCACTGAAGGATTACAGGTGATTTGTGGACAAAATAAAGCAACGAATTTAAGATATAGTGGCAGGGAACAAGGGAAAGAAAAATAAAAAGTAGAACTTTAGCAATGAAATCCTGGATCCTTTTAAGTCAGCAGAGATTTTGGCCTAGAAGTAAAAATTTCATCTTTCCTGCATTTTTTGTTTTTCTTTCCAGTGTGGAGGAAAAGGGCAAGGGCAAGGATTGTTCTCCCATGTCTCCACAACTGTGCTTGAAGCAAGGGACAAATATTTGGGCATCATCTAGGGACTTTTTCAGTRAGGATAGGTTTGGGAGAAGTGAAGGTGGAAGGGGAGAGGACAAAGAMGTGGAGGAGTCATTGAGAAGGGCAGGCAAATAAAGGCAGTAGCAGAGGATAAGCRCTGGCAGAGCCAATGGCTAGAAGAAATTGCAGCTCTGTGCTTGGCAGAACACAGGATGGACACTGAAGAGCACCAAAAAAAAAAAAGTCCAGAATGCTTTCCAAGCTCAGGTTCACAACTGTAGCTTGAAGCTGCTCTTCTCACTTGAACACCATTAGGAAGGCCAAAASCTCTTGTGTTCCCACCCAAAGGATAACTCACCCAATGTTCTGCTAGGCTAACACAGATATTTTAAGGTCTGTGCTTAGCAATTTTCTGCCACTGCCTTGGAGGACAATGGCACCCTGCTCACCCTCCTGCAGGGACAGGGAGCCATTCCTGCCTGCCAGTGTAAATTGGAGAGTATTTAAAGATGWCAGCCTGACAATCTCTTGTGAACTGACCATTCATCTCCCAGCAATGGCATTCTGCTACACATCCAGAGGTCTGCAGAAGGTTTTTCTGCATGTGCCTCTGCTGGGTGATGAGAGACCTATGAAGTTCAGAGCTGATTACGGACTTTCCAAACTGACAACCCAATACTCTTCCAGTGGCTCCTCACTGTGGCTACAAATACACCCTAACTACACCTTAATTCCATTTCTCAAAGGTGGGAAGGCGTGTGCTTTTCTGTCAGCAAGATATGCATGAGAGCAAAAACTAATCAGCACTYAGGGAAACTGTTGCCTCCCTGACATTTGCAGGATTTCTCCATCAGCTGCCAATGAACATCCGTCACACTGGTGGAACACTGTCTCCTTAACTTTACATCAGCTGCTGCCTGGAACATCCATTTAAAACACAACCAWGTGTACTTACAATAACCAAGCCCAATCTCTATTTGCTTGTTTTCTCTCTCTGAGAAGACAGGGGTGGGTTAAYAACCTCCCTGAAAGCTCTCTGTTCCTACAGGTGAGCCCAGAGCACCTGGGACTCACACCTTAACCTCCAGGACTGAAATGAAAACTTGGACTATGAGTGTGAGAAAAAGCAGCTGACATGTGACCCCGAGAGTCCCTGCCAGATTTCTCTGGAGAAAACAACCTGAGACTTGTAGCATTCTTCACATCTTCCCTGCAGCCACCACAGCTGCCTTCACCCTTACTCTGAGAGAGGCCAATGAGGACCTGGGAGACCACACTCGAGTCCAACATAGAAAAAAAATGGAAAAGAAGATGGGAAAGACAGMGATGGATCCTAGTACAAAAACCACCAGACCCACCCATTCTCCTGCTCCACAGGTATCAAAATCCTGATCCCAAGGCATCAATTTGTAGTTTAGACACTTGTGAATCAAATCACGATTAACATTAGAGAGACTGTGCTGACATTTTCTGCAGGAGTTTCCAGGTGGAATCACAACCTCAGCCAAAGTTGGGAATAAGTCCCACTGAAATCAGGGGGTGAGGCAGGCTGCGTATGGGCAGCTGGGGTACCAAATGCACCAACATCTCTCAGGACCTATAACAAACCTGGAAAGATGCTACATGGGGTTACTAAGCCATCTGTCAGGGATACAGGATTTTATAAAAGGATGCAAGAAAAACTATTAATGGGTTTAGATTTACATTTGAACTTCAATTTAGCATTTATACATGTTAATGATTGAGGGGCACAAGTATAAATATTTKGACAGCTGTCTAGGCTACATGGCTTCTTGTCATGTTTGTATTTTATGCTTATGACTGTTATGACTCAAAAAATCAGATGTACAAGATCTGCTCACTAGAAGAAAGCTGAATATTTAAGAAATGGGCCTTTGTAACTACTCTTGTACCCTGAGAGCATCATAGTTACTGCCAGTGGTAAGAAAAAAGACTAAATCACATTTGGATTTCTCACTCCAAAACTAAGGAAAATATCTAGAAACAATACAGGAAAATTCACCCAACTGGAAACCTCTCAAAGATTTTGATATTCTAGAAAAAAAATCTGAGAGAAAAATATTAATCCCAATTTGTGAAAGACCAGGCAGCTGAGATTTCTACAAGATGAGTCAGTCCTGGCACATACACACAGACACACACTTGCAAAAGATTTTTAAATAGAGGCTAATTTCAGCTGAAACTCAGCAGTGACAAGCACTTCTATAGATGACGATTTGGAACCTACATACCAGCAAAAGTAAATCAAGTGGGTGAAAGGGTTCAGAGACCACATAAAACAGTGCCTCTGTTTCCACTGAAAGCAGCCTGGGTTTGAGTCAAAACAACCCCTCATCTTTGACTTCAGTGTGTGTGGAATGGATGAGARAAGGTTTGCAGACCTTATAAATTCAACAGGATGAGGAAAGAGGAGATCAGAGCCTGTAAAATCTATGAACTGCTCAGGATTTCATCTGCAGAGATAACAGGTAAAATCTTTGTTCTGTTGAAATAAACAGCAAAATGCTTGGGTGCCTCATAAAGTGAAGAATTCAGAGCAGCAGCTTCCTGAATCTCGAAGTTCTGTCTTTCCTATAGCATTTATAAAATCATAATTCACAGCTGCTTCTTTTTTTCCCCATCCAAAAGCCCTGGGAGTGATCTTCCATTGTCTGACTCTCACACAGCACTTTGAGGAAAAAAGTAATTCCCTGTTTATTCCAGGTAAACACAGAGAGATTTCCAAAACATTCTGCCCCATTCCACAACATATTGAGCTCTCAGCAGAACACAGGTCTAGGTTCACAAGTTTGACTGTTAGCCAAATTAAGTGTGAAGGATCTCACATTAGTCCTGGACAGAAGGTTCCTGTGTGTTAAGAGTGGCCTGACACCATCTACTTTGTGTTTCTCAGAAGGTACTGGAACTTTGCTCCCCCTACAACTCCCCAAGTACTTGATTACAACAAGCAATGAACTAGATGGCTCCAAACTCTCTCCCAGCATTTCTCCCCTGTACTCTGTTTCCCTAGAGTTTAAACTGTTAACAGGATGAAATTATTTCTGTCAGGAAACATGATTACTGCTTTTCTACKTAATTCACACACAAGAGATACTTTAATGACAAGATCTATCTCTCCCACTGAAATCTCTTCAAAAAGAGTCCGTATAAATTTCTGCTTCCTAAAAGAGAGTCCTTATTCCACTCACATAAAAACCTGACCGCCTAGGTGGGGCATCTTACCACCTGACATCACAKCTGTCAAAATGGAACCACTGAAGTGGGATAACAGGATGAACTTAGGCTAGGCCTTCCCAGGGCAAGAAGAAACTGTTATCTGAGCAGTTCACAAGATCAMCGTCTTCACATCTCTCAGCGAAGCAAACAAAGCAGGTTGATCAGGGTGGCCCTCAAGGAGATGTTCCTTGTACACTTGCTTTACCTTGTRTTTGTAACATTAAACTGTCTTGTCCAGATTCGGTGAATGCAGCTCCAGATGGACAAAGATGAACATACACCACACATGACAGAAGAAAGGAACTGCTAACTGCTACYTCCACTGAAAATGAGAGTTTCTGTGAAAAGGGAATTTCCATCTATGTTACYGAGAACTGGTGGAGTACACAGACCTAAATCAAATTATTTTCATTTCAGGAATGACAATAAACTGGTCAAGTGTATAATAAGATTACACACACAGCCATGAAGAGTTACAGGCCGCTGTTAATTATGGAGGTTCAACTCTTAGAACCACGTGACCTGAAGAACAAACTTGAGTACCTACAGCTTTTACAGCCCCTGGTCTCCATTGTGAAATGCTGTTTTCCTTACCATGAAAGCATGTGATCAAACTCAATAAAATAACTGCAGGTTGTGTAATGGTTGTGGAAAATACTGTCCTGTTTTTAAGACATATTTCAGGATTTCTTTATGACATTCTTTACATGAACTCAATCACTATAATGAAACCCCATGCTTCTCATTACTTGAGATGGTCACCTGCCTAAGAGTTCATGTTCTCCATTCTACATAGCCTTATCACAGTTAAAACAAAAAAATTAAATAGAGTTTACCATCTACTTATTTGCATGCTCACACAGTTATGAGTAACAATGCTCAGCACCGTGCTATCAATTTTTTGCTATCCAAATTGCAAAGGGTTCTTAAAAAGCACTCAGTACTGGTTTACACACCCATGGTAGTCCAGCATGATCCATGCTATGAACAAAGGAGGCAGATTCAGAGGGTTGGCAATTCCCACAGGGGCTTTTAACTGACCACTGGCCTGCTTGGAGCACACATAAGGGGGAGGTGACAGCTTTYACATGAGCCAGACCTGCATCACAGCTAAAAATGACTTCAACTTCAGCATTCATCAAAGGCAGTAAGCAAATACTGAGTGCCTTTGAGAGCTCCCAGCAAAAACACAATACTTAAGGCATACTAATACTAAATACTGAAGAAAAAGGGTTCCATACCTTAAATTCCTCCAAGATTTTGTAATTTTTCCCATGATATTCACAAAAGTTTTTCACTTCTTTGCATTCTGGACAGCAYCCATTGTGTTCCACTTTTGTGCACTTTGGGTGGATTTTAGGGCATTCTGGTTGATCGCAAACAGGTCCATCCTCAGTACAGATACAGGGACAGTTGGAATGCCCCGGGAAAAAACGTTCTCCCAGTTTGTACACAAAGCCACTGTCATCCACACAGCCCTTCCCCCGGTAATCATCAAAGATCAGATTGTCATTACTGGAGGTCTGGTCCCCTTCATCAGCGGGGTAGTCTTCATGATTGATGGCAGCTGGAGTGACCAAACCAGGGAGCACAAACAGAAGTATCCAGGCTTCATGGATATGAAGAGCCATSCCCCTCCTCAGCCTCTCCATGGGACCTCAATGCCAGATACAAACAGCTGCTTCCATAGGGAGACCAGTGTTGTGGTCTGAAAACAAATGGTTTTAAATGAGTACGAACTCAAAACTTATGTCATCATTTTAACCAGCATCAAAGAATAAATCTGAGGTTTTTTAACTGCATAGATAACTACCACTACTCTGTTCGAATTAAACTTCCTCTCAATTATTACTAAAGAGAACAAAGCATGTGAAGTAACTAACTCAGACACACATGCCTGGAAGCATATGCCCACAAAATAACTCTGAAAGAATGGTGGCTCACAGAATCATCTAATTTTTWCTTTCTTCATTTTTGCAGTTGAGTTTCTGGATGCAACAGAAATTAAAGCAGCTGCCTGAAATTGCATGGTGATGGTCAGCTCGGCGGGGGTTGAAGCCAAGTTGAAGCAAGCTCTAAACTTCCTGTGGTGGCCGCTGGCCCTTGGTGCTACATATGGAACACAGCCCACTTCATTACACAGAGGTGGGAAACCCGGGCTGAAAAACAAGTTAAGCATAGTCAGTTGTCAGACCTGTGTCTGATCTGAAARATGCTGCTGGGTTAAACTTTGGCTGCAGGAGATGGAATAGTGCAGAAGTTTATTTACAGCATTTCTGAAGAGGGACTTCATGGGCTACCAACGCAGCCCAACCTGCAGCAGGTATGTTTAATCCTGACAGAAGCAAAGATGCAATTCACCTTCTCCATTATTCAGCATTTCAGTAATTCCCAGCAAAAAACGTGGAGTGCAAAACATTMAATGCCTRCATAATGCATGGAGCTGCTGAAATGTGTCTGCCTGATTAAGCTGCAGCCTTCCTAAAACTTTGGGAGCAATGCAGCATGGCCCGAGCTTTGGTGAGCTRTGCTGGAGTGGTGGAGCTAGGATGGACCCCGGGAGGGAGAGGCGCTCTGAGTTATCCCTGGCAGAGTCAGCACCAGGCGAGGGCTCTGTGCCGGAGTCTTGGGAGCACTTCTGGCTGCCCACAGTGCCACATCCCTGCCACCAACCTGCCCACACACCAGCCAACAGCCAGTGCAGCAAACTGGTTTCTGACCTCTCTTAAGAGAACTGGCCAAAGTATTACAGGAAACTTTTAAATGAGATGAAATATCAGCATTATATGGACTGCAGAACTATGAAGGTAGATCCTGGCACAAACCAAAAGAAAAAAAAAGGACTGTTGGGGTGCGTGTGTCATCCCTTCTTTTTCTCCATTCCCAGAGCATGCACACACAGGCACACGGAGTCTACACAAACATGCATTAACCTACACRCAGAGGCAAACACGTATTCCCCTCCACCCCTCGGGGAGACATTTTTTATATATTGGCATTTTTGGTGGACTGCAGATGTTCAGCAATTAATTCTCCTTTAACTGAAGMAAAAAAAGCAGCAGCAGGAGGAGAAAGCTTTAATCCCAGAGAAGCAGCTAAGGGATCCTGTTGACAAAGCAGTTTTTCCGAAGCCACAACAGAGGGAGACACCGGATATTACACAAGATTTATCAAATTCRAAAAGATATCTTCTTAATTGAAGTACTAGCTATGTTTCCATCACAAGGACTATGCACCCTCTTGTTACTCCTATCAGCAATATCTACTGTAACATGCTGTTTGGAAATCCAGCGATTCATGCAGATACAGCTGCTTTACATATCTACAGAGYAGAGAATCTCCCCACCTAACGCTACAGGTAGGTTGCAACATTGCAGATTTGTGGGCATTGAGGGGAAGAAAAAAAAAAGCAAGCAAACGAAGTAATTCATACCTGAGGAAACGTGAAAAAATTGAGAGAATCTGTTGGAGTTTGATGAAGAAGATCTCAAAACAAATGTGTGTGTGCATATATACATATATGTATATAAAAGTTCTCCCCAKATCATAAATAAGAGCRCTATATTTTGCTACAGCAGCTGAGATGTCCCACAGCAACTCACAAGCACTCGGCTCGATCCTGGAAATCAGACAGACTGCAGACGTCTTGCACGGACACATTTCAACAAGTAAACAAATGCTGTTTGGCTCGGAATTAGTYTACAGCTCGAACTTTCTTATAATTCCTCCTCCTGAAAGAGGCCAGTGTTATTTTTCACACCAGGATCGTAGGTAAGTCTCTGAAACGTTTTCATCTGCCTTCCCTCACCCCAAGTGAATAATTCACACCTACCTGATCAGGCTGGATGTGAAAGCTGCGAGGGGTCACAGGCCAATATAGACTGAAAGGTTAGAAACAGATTAGTGAAAGCAGTTCCTCCTAATCACGTTTTCGGTGTTGACTCACGGACAATCCCTTTTCCTCCACCTCCCATCGCAAAACAGGGGAGCGCGGCAGCCCAGCAACCACAACATGAGAACTGAGCTTTAACCCGGCGCCGAGGATTCAGAGGGAGCAGGATTCAGGCGGTCCGGAGGCTGCGATGCCGCGGAGAAACCCCGGTGCCAGCAGCAGAGTCATCGCGGCGAACTTGGGCTGCATCTCCTCAGGTCTCGGGGCGGGCGGGGGAGAAAAAACAACCCATCCCTGTCCCCTCCCTGTGCCCAGCGGATCTCCTGCGGCTCCAGCTTC